TTAGGCACTCTTTAGGCACCTCGGTTAGGCACTAAGGAGCCTCGGTTAGGCACTCTTAAGCACCTCGGCTAGGCTCATTTTCATGGGATAACACATGCCATAATTTTACGACGACACTACAAGACTATATTCATATCCGACCACATAAACATCCATGTATCAGCCACCTTAGGAAAACCCTTATGTAAAGAAAATGATATTTCTGTCCAGACCTACAAAACTCGCTTCTCTGGCCTCCAACTACCATCCGTGTGCATTAAATCAACCACACTGAGTAATAAATTGCCACGACTTGGCGTGATTTAGAGAAAAGAAAATGGGCGAGAAAGACAAAGGGTACCAAACATTGAAATATGTTTGCCATAGCCCACATACCAATGGATCCCTTACGCCATAGCTTGTGCCTCCGCGCGCTACATTTCCATATGCAGGAACACCCTTATTTGCAATCCACGTGTTAAAATGTAGAATACACAAAATACTTCCCTTTTAGAATTATGGCTGACAAGGAGTTCGGGTTAGACAAAATCATGAAATGGTCAATCCATAAAATTGAGTGCAGTTGCTTTCTGTTAAAGTCCCCAATCTTACAGCAATTATGGTAGTGTCAGCCCCGAAATTAAATCACGTGTTAGCATGAAGTGATATTTTCATAATTTCACGACTAACCACATATAAAGGCCAAATATGGACATGATGTCTAGATATTGGCAATGAATAATGATGATTGAACATGCTCAAAGACAGGAAAATGATGGACATATTGACTTGGCAACACCAGTTTGGGTGTTTATTTATCTTTATTTTTCAAACTGTCCAATCATGTATCAACATGTGTCCCTCCATATTTTTTACACTGTTTTTGAATCTGTTTGTATAGCATGATTGATTGGCAAAAGAGCCATTCTTCCCAAGATACATTTTCAAAACTAAAAGTATGTCATATACGATTGCTAATCCTTGTAAGGCATCAACACCAATTTCAATGGATATGCCCAACTTATGATTTTGTTTTGGTTCAATAGGTTTGACTAACTTATCTGTTTGATAGGTTTCGTGTTAAAAAAAAAATATATTGATCACACGCAACTGCGGCTCCCAACCTCTCCATCAAGAGCCCTATCTTCTCTTGAAGGCAACTATACTCCAATTTTTCAGAATGACCATTACATGCTTTTGGAACATTACTATACTTTTCATCGCGAACACGTATTAAAAGGAATTATATTGCCGATAGTAGCAATTGCTGAATTTAGAGACGGATTTTGGGTTAGCATGGGATGTTGTAATAACTTCTGCTGCTCCACTTCCCCAAGTGTGACATTGCTAAAAGAGTAGTGAATTCTTCAGAGGATCAATGTGTTGCAAGGAGTAACTAGGTAAGATATGTAAGCTAAGTGAATCAATTAAGGTAACGTAGTCCCAGAGAGAAGCATGGGTGCAAGATGGCAAGGTAACCCAAGTTAAGAGCTGGAAGAGAGTACAATATGGCTTTAATTATATTTTTAACTAATCATTGGTACGTATAATGTTTTAATTTGATTTACTGCAGGAACTTCAAATCTGGAAAAACATTATTTACACTCGAGACAAAAAATCAACTAATTTGTTTAAAAAAGTTAATACTTGATATGTGGACATATAATGAGTTAGACACACACCATTTATAAGTCGATTTTAAGGGTGAATTCCAGTAAATATGATTATACGTATTAATATCAAAGCAAACATTCTTCCATAGTCGATCCTCATTCCAGGTGAGGCAAATTGAAGAGAACGGTAGGCGAGCACTCTCTTTCTACATACGATACTTATGTCACATATGATATACACTCGGTTGAAGAGTATATAGAGAGGTCACGACTATATCTTTTATCCCAACCACCGTCACCGACCATCGATCTAAACTTGTCCACTAGTTTTCTGGACCTTTCAATGGTTCCTTCGACAGAGGACTGCTTTCCAGTAGCAAACCAAAATTCAAGCAATCCACCCCATGTATTTTGGTTTTAAATTGGGATTTGGGGTTGGGTAATGGAGGTTGTTGTGTGGCATTTGAAATGGGGTGGTCGGTGGAAAGTGGGTGGTGGGGTGGCCAGTGGTGGTGGTTGTTTGGTTAACTGATGGATATGTGGATGAAAACTGTCCAAAACGGCATCATCTGCAATGTTTGGAAATGTTAAGGGTGACGGCTGCAACAAATCAAAGATTTAGAAAAAAATCTGCTAGTGTTTCAAATGTTTGGGCTTTTGCTGCAATTATCCCTACTGTATATGAGGTTTTTGTATGGGTAATCAAAATTTCATATTCGATCCAAAGATACATAAATAATTTTGTAGAAAATCGTGTTCAGTGAAAGTCATACGAACTACTTAGGGGGAATTTTTTAATATCTTTCAAGATTCATCCTACATACTAGGTAAAAAAAAAAACTCAAACAAATGATTTAAGTTCTTATAAAAGAAAAAGGATTTTTCAGCCATTTTCACATTCTATCACGCGAGGTATTGCAAAAGAAAAATTGCGAATTCAATCTAATTTATCATAATTGATTAGTTAATATGTTTATTAACCATACTCTGAAACACATAAAAAGATCATTGATTTATCAAATTATCCGTCGAGCTTAAGAAATTCGTGGAATTGACGTGAGGTGCCAGATATGACTATATTGAATATGAAGCATTTCGATACAAGTTATGCCTTGAAGTGAAAGACTATTCCAAATCGATTTTGTTTATGAAGTATGAACAAGAAAGCTAAAAGTAGTGTAACTATGGACTTCATATAAAGTTTGATCATTTTATTTTATTTGATAAATGATCGCAATAAGTTATGCTTGATAGAATTTGATCAATCTTTTAATCCATAGTTAAGGCGGAGAACTGAATCAATAATTATCTTTATTCATCATCAAAACGAATCATCATGCGTTTTTTATAATTCTATTTTATCATCAATCCAATGTCTTTCAACCATTGTTTCTCATAGCAATTTTTACTGTATAATCTATAATTTTAATATTTTCATCCTTAACATTTCATTCTCGAATAAACGTGCAGTCCAAATTAAAGGTTAGAATGAACTTATTAGGTAAAATTGCATTCTAGTTGCCAACCTATTGCCTTAGTACCAAGTTGATCTTCGATATTTAACAAATTGATATTCAATCTTCCCTTATAATTTCACAAGCAATTCATTGTATTTCCAAGTTTTACAAACTAGACTTTATATCAAAACTGAACTTGGTTTCCATTAATTTGGAGTGAGAAATATCTTTTACGAGAACCACATCACACGGTTTTCATTATTTTGGGTGTGTTTGATCCACATTATTTTGAAAGAATGTAATTTGGAATAGTGGATTGATGGAAAATGTGTGATTGAAAAGGAAAGAAAAATTATTGATGTGATGGAAATTATTATTTTATTGAAAGATGTGTGGTTGAAAATGAGTAAAAGAATGAAAATGAAAACTTTAATGTGTATCATACAGGGGCTTTGACTGCTTGTACAACCATATTAAACTTTTGGTTGTCAATTTGTTTATTTTTAATGTTGGATACCAACTTGCACTGTGGCAATATTTAAGGAACTAATTCTGCAAATTTTCCAACTTACTATATATGTCTCAAGTTGAGGATCTCCATGCAATTTTTAAAAATACATCAGGGATCGAAATTCTTATTCACTAAATCTTGAAGGACTAAAAGTAATTTTTCATTAAATTGAACTTCTTTATACATTCAAATACAAGGTAAAACAAAAATAAAATTCCCCAAATAAGGAGCTGTCCTTCACCAAAAGGTCCAAAAGCAGTAGAGAGAGAAATACACAACAGAAAACACCTATTTCTCTCTCTCACACACAACACAGTTACACACCCTCCTCCCCCACCAATCACAGAGACCCCACAAATTTCTCCTCCCTTAAACCCACACCACCTCTAGATTTCCCTCTCAATTTCCCACACAATGCCACCTTCCTCCTCAGGTAACGCACCATAAACCCCTAATTCTTCGTTTCTATTTTTGTATAAATTCGCATTCACCCACCCTTCTGTTGAATTGAACTAGAATTAATTGATTTTTGCTTGTTTTGGAGAGGCACTTGTGAAGCTATGGTATGTTTTGGGTCAGCAAACACAGGCATTTGGGAAATTAACTAAAAATGTTAATTTTTTTTCCTCTGTGTTTTGATGTTTGTTTACGAAGACCCATGTGTTAAATTTGACAAAAAAACATTTTTTTTTTTTGCGTGTGCGCGCATGATGTGTTTAGTTTCATATACCCGTTTGTTAACTTAATCTCGACAGGTTTAAATCTTTTTAGTATTGACATCTATGTTTATATGCGCAAAGTTGTTAGTTTAAAACTGAAAGATTTAATGGATACTTCATGTTATTCTCAGAGTTTTTGTAAAATTAATCTGAAAATAATTTTATTTTCACGTGTCTTCTTTGTTTTGTTTAGAGGGGAGGAATAGGTGGAGGAAGCGGAAAGGGGGGAACCAGATTTCTCGGAAATATAAAATCAATGAACCTACGAATGATGAAGCTCTTGAGGAGAATTATGATGAAGATGACCCTGACCTGGACCCACCTCATAAGTACCCAGAAACTGACGACGATTACCATCATCAAAGTGCAGATCGGATTGCACGCGTGTCACGGGCGAAAGAAAGAGAAACGTTGGTTGATGGCGGGGTGAAAATCTGTGAGTTCCCAGTGGCAGTTAAGAGGGTTGTCAGTAGGCATCACTCATCAGTTTTGGGGATTGTGGAAGTGGAGAGGTCAGCACAAAATGGGGAGAGCAGAGGGCAGGGCCAGAGTGGAGTGGTGGTGTTGGAGAACATTTCACATGGGCAGCTGCAGGTGCTCTCTGCTATGCCGCGGGATAGTGTGGCTTTATTAGAGTGTTCTGAGGAGGAGACTGGAAGCAGGAGCAGGGGTGCATCATATGTGATCAGGCCTCCATCAATAATTGCTGGATCCGGTGTTACTAAAAGGTTTGGGAGCGCTGGTCGAGTCCATGTTGTGCCAGTGCACGCAGGTTGCCCAATTACTCTTTTCAGACGACATGACACATCAATTTATTGATGGAAAAGTTTATGGCATGGGTCTCTATATTTGAATTAAAATTGTTATCCACCAATGTATTGATGTGCCATATCATTGATTAGATCATTCTCTTTATTATATATTATATAATTCTAGTTTTTAGCTTCTATTTTTGAGGAAAATTAATATATTAGTTGAACAATTGGGTTAATTGAGGGCCTGCCAGATATGCTTTTTTTGTTAGTATTAATGGGTATGCTTTATGACAACTGCTCAGTTGAATGCTGGTTATGTAATTTTCAAATCATAGTTTCTAACATTAAATCTTAAAGCGAACTATGTTCCATTCTCATTCTGTGATTAATAATGAACTATCTCTTTATTTAAAATTTGGTGTATGTTGCAAACTCCAATCTACTTATGTGATAGAATAAACATGTTTAGCTGGAAAAACAGCAGGCTAAAATGTCAAAAGGAAAGCTTCAGTCTGAAAGTGACAGATGGAGCTCTTAGCCTGACCTGGTTTGTTACAAACTCCCTGGCCCATTGTCTCCAAAATGCACACTGATACTTTTTTGGTACTGAACAAATTGGAACGTATGTATCTTGACTCTCTACTGGTAAGAATGGAAAATTTTGCTGTCCTGGGGTGACTTATTTTTGCTTTATTAGGTCATTTTCAGTGCATTGTTTCCTTGGTATCATGATACTGAATTGGTAACTTGCGACATTCTTAGAGAGTCAGAAGACCAGAACATTATTATATACTGCTTTTGCATGGCTTTAGCGAGCTCCATTTGCATTCTTATCGAACCAATATTTGTTTACTATGATGTCTATTTGTCCATTTGTGGTGCAGGCTAGAATGTTTCCCTAACTTTAGTTGTTTTGGTTCCTTGCATAAACAGACTGGTTTTCACCAAATTCAGTGCATAGATTGGAGAGACAAGTGGTGCCACATTTTTTCTCTGGGAAGTCAGCTGATCATACACCAGAAAAGTACATTGAATGTCGGAATTTAATTGTTGCAAAGTATATGGAGAACCCAGAGAAGCACTTATCAGTTGCTGATTGCCAGGAAATTGTAGCTGGTATTGAATTAGATGATTTAACTCGGATTATGAGATTTCTTGATCATTGGGGAATCATCAACTATTGTGCAACTCCTCTTAAATCTGAGCTCCAGAAGGATGGCACATATTTATGCCAGGATTCAAATGGCGAACTTCGTGTGCCTTCTGCTGCTTTGAAATCCATTGATAGTTTGATCCAATTTGACAAGCCTAAATGTAGACTTAAGGCGACCAATGTATATCCAGAACTTGGTGGTCAGTATGAAGAGGACTCCGACTTTGACAGCACCATCCGAGGACAATTATCTGAGCATCAGTGCAATCATTGCTCTAGGCCAATTCCTGTTGTGTATTATCAGTCGCAGAAAGAGGTAAATAGCATACAGTTGCAATCACTTCTCTTAAACCTTTATGTATGTGTCTTAGTTTCTTTGTGAGACATCATTGTTTTTGATTGCTATTAACTCACCTTATTTCTCTTTTGTGGAGGTATTATTTTCTGTAATATTGATATTTATGCAAGTTTGAAAATGACCTTATTTCTCTTTTGTGGAGCTATTATTTTCTGTAATATTGATATTTATGCAAGTTTGAAAATGTAGATAATTTTTTTTTGCATTGTATGTTGTAGCCTCCATGCCATTCTTGAACAAGAGTTATAGGAACCATCAAGTTCATGTTCTAGGGGATGGGGGTATTTAATACAATAAATTGTATAGGCATTTATCTATAAATATGTGGACGGTAGTTTTATTTTAGTTAGGCAGAAATTAGGGTTTGTAATTGGGAGAGAGATAGACCTCTCGAATGCTCGTCAAACTTTTTGATTCATCTTCATTTAGCAATACAATTTTACATTTTGTTCTTTTGCTTTTTAATCTGTGTTGGTACCTATCATTTGGTAGCACAACAGCGATTTTAGGGCAAATGACAAAAAATAAAATAAAATAAAATTGGAGGAAAGTTTGGGCTTGGCATTGGATCAGATGAACCTAAATTATTGGCTGTGGTAAAAATTCGAGAGTATGCTACAGAAGAATGATGAGCAAGACACTTGTGAATCTGATCTGGCACAAAAGGAGAAGATGCAGGGAATTCCTTGGTTAATTGAAAAAAGTTAAATAATAATTAAGTGGCAAATTGTTAAAACTTAAAAGATAGAACATGTCACTTAAAAACCAATTAGAAACTTGTACTAAAAATCTAAAACACTAAAAAAACATAAATTTACATGACAAAAGTAGTACAAAATTAAAATAAAAGTAAGAAATGGCATAATTAATTACAATTGCCATACCCGCTTGAAAATTGAAGGATCTGCCCCATATTTCATACCCATGTCCTGTCGTGTCGACATGGGTATGCCAGCTGGAATGTCAACTCTGAGCATCATAGTTTGAGCTTGTGTTTTTAACTTTAGTCTATAAGAAAAGTTCAAAGGTAGAATTTATGTAGATATACAGACTTTCTTTATAGGGTGTGTTTGAGCCACGTTATTTTGGAAGAATGTATTTTGGAATAGTAGATTGATGGAGAATGTGTGGTTAAAAAAGAAGGAAAAGTTATAGATGTGATGAAAAATATTATTTTATTAAAGAATGTGTGGTTGAAAATGAGTAGAAGAATGAGAATGAAAATTTTAACGTGGCTCAAACATGGGCATATAAGAAAAATGGATATTAGACTGCAATCGGCTTCAGAAAGCTTCCAGAATACATATTCTTGCATACCAGGCTAACCTATAACTGTAAATAAGTAAAGTCGATCAAATTCTGACATTTCACATTTGAGCTAACCTCAAGTTGGGTTGAGAAATAATCCTGATTGTTCAAGGGAAAAATACAATCAAACTTTTGGAACTAAGTAGTATGACTACTATGTCGGGGAGAATAATCCCATGAAGATTCAGTGGTCCCTGGGTGTTGCTTTAGACCTTTCCTTCAAAACAACTTCGGTGGAAGGTCAAGTCATTTTTTGGGCTCAAAGTTTCACGAGATACTGATATGGAAGACCTATAATTGTAGTTTTTTTGTCAGAACATGAGGGACGAGTGCCATTTTAGTTTATAGCTTCTTTCTTGCTTAGGCTTAGGTAAATGATGTGGAACTCTGGAAGAAGTAATGTTTATGTGGAATATTCCTTCTAGAAAGGGTATACATGCTTTAATAGCATATAGGCTTTATGTGTGGCTATTGGTTACAAATTATGTCGATTATGCGATCAGGCAAGATACACATGATTATTATGCATCTCGTTTATATTTATGCTATTTTTCTTCTTAGCAGACAGTGTGATACAATCGAGTTCACGAATCTTTACAACCTTTTGAATCTTTGTTGACTCGTGAACCAACCTTAACTCGATTACTCCCGATTCATACCCTTAACTTGAAACCCCTAACTCGGTTTTCCATGATCTCTAGATTTTAGCTTTTGCTTTGCCGTTCACCAAAAACTGCTCCAGTTTTGCGTTGTGTTGCAATCATATTCATAATTCAATAACCTGACATTCTTCGAAATTGATTTCTAGTTCTATATATTCAATAGTGATTGGGTTACGTGGAATTGCTTATGGTTATGGGAGGCTACTATGTACCACTTTCATCATTGCCTTAGAAATGAAAAGAGTTATTAAGATTAGATCTGGCCTCAGTTCAATTCTATTGAGATCCTGTTTTATGGACTTCTAGGATATAATCAAGTTAATTTCCAATAAAAGTCAAAAAATTAATATGCCTTGAGATGAAGACGTGCATGAACATTCGGCAAAGTTATTTACACCCTCAGTCATGAACTCTGAAAAGCCCATAAAGATGCTTCGTAGGGATCAGTGACCCACTTATCTTAGATCACTATTATACAAGATGCATTTACATAATAGAATTTCCAAGAGTAGTTCAACACACCTATTAATGTAACATTCATTTAAGCCTACACTCAGGATATTGAGTTCGCACTTAAATTTATGAGTTACTATATCTGAGTGGTCTGGTGATGAAGCAGAGAGTTCTAGGGCTGTTGAGGAAAGAGTGAGGC